ACTATGAAAAAATTTCGTAAGTCGATCTGAATTTGTACTAATGAGAATGTCTAAAGCAATAATGAAAGGTCATTGCTTTATAAAATTAAAATATATTTCGTAATATTCATTCTGTATGAAAAATCCAAGGTTGTGAAATCGACATGACCAGCGATTGAGGACCATAAATGATACGCATTTTCATTAAAAAAGTCGTATTCCCAATTCTTGTCGTTTAGTAATTGATGACATGAAAAGGTCATTTTCGTATAAATTTTTCTTTTTTGAAAGATAAAAAATTTTAAGTTGTTTTGCGGACGTTTAGATTATACAAAGATATGCGTATTGCAACTGTCACAGATCGTAATAGAAAAATGTGTTACATTTATATAGTGTTATGAACTAGTTGTTCAGCATTCAGTTATCATTGTATTTTTCACAATCAGCTGAGTAATTTTGAAGTTTATCGATCTTTCTGTTTTTCTTTTAATACATATCAAATGTGGACTTTATTTGAACGACATATTTTCATTTTTCATTATCGTTTACTTCTTCGAGAGTCAAAAAAAAAAAATAATTCATTTCCATCATATACCACCTTTCATCTTTATTATATATATTTCAAGTCTTTACATTTAAGCATTATTTTTATTAAGATAGGGTATTTTGATCTGCAAATTATTAATCGTTCGCGATGTTTCTTGTTACTTACCTCATCGAATTCTTGATCTATGGGAATCAGTATTTCATGATATACTATTACAATGATATGTATTATAGTGTTTAGGGAAGCACTTGTTGTCCCAGTTTATCGATCAAAAATTCATCTTTGGCATTCATTGAATTGACGAAAATATCGCAAAGTGATTTTTCAACTTACATCAGGTTCTCCTCTTTATCTTTCAACAAATTTTCGACTTTATAATACTTATATTTTTTATATGGCTAATTTATGAGAATGAACTGAAAAGGCAATACTGAGTGTTATTCATCTCCATTAGTTTGTTCTTGTTTTCTTTTTATTTATATATTTGATCTCTTGAACACAATTTTGCAGAGCATTGACAAGGAATATAAATTGTGGAACGAATCTAGAAATATATCCGACGCCCTTATATATTTTAGCAAAAAAAAGAATGGTCGAACGATGATTCGACCCTGCAACAATAATTCTCAAGAAACAAGAAATGATATTTGCTTATAAAATGAATCAATAACTTTTAATAATTCATCACTTTTTGTGCTTGTCTGCTGAATTGGAGCTTAAAAAAACTATTGATGATCAAGTATCGATTTGTTTCCATACCTGCGAAACAGAAAATCACGGCCATACGCTTCTGTCTCACCAGGTAATGTGATAAAGTTTGAAAGTCTAAGAACCTAGCTCAAACATTTTCTACACTATTAAACCATAGTTTTACATGGTCTCTTTTTGTAGTTATACAAGAGAATATTACATTTGCTGTATTATATAAATGTGTCGTTATTGACACGAATGAATCCTCTAAATGTGATGTTTATTACGCTACCACTTATGTAATATTGCACTATATGTTTCTTTTTGATGAAATCAGGTTGGAGCCTATCGATTGATTAGAAGAAATATAACAAAAACATGCTTGATGTAAACGTAAGTAAGTCTTACTTTTCGAACACTAAAATCTTTTAGAATTTCATCAGACTAAGTTATTTTTAAAAGAACTTCATACTTTATTTATGTAAGCATAAAATTAAATACCTTTCTTATTTAAAAATGATGAAACTTTAGCGATTTGTCGTATTTTATTGTACAGATATAGAAAACCTTTCTTACTGTTTTGGTCGAATGGCATAATAGATACAGCAAATAAAGAAACGTTTAAGAAGCGCATCATTAAAATGATGAGTACGAGAAGATTAGACACAATATATTTTTATCTACTTGAACAACAGAAAAAAAATTTCATTAGTCTTGATTGTCTATGTCATTGACAAAGGCAATTTTTTTTTATAGATGGCTGACAAAGTTATTTTGTTGAATCAATAATATCCATTAAGAATGACTTATTGAACTATTCAAGTAAATATGAGTCGGTCAAGCATATGTAATTTGAGAATATATTGTCTTCATAAGTGAATACAACAGTTCTAAAATTATATTTGAAATGTAAGCACTGAATGTATATAATGGACAGCAAAAAAGACATGCCTTTGACAAATAAGTTATTATTCGATATTTTGTCGATTGACAAGTGAAGTTTCATCTAGCTGTTTCATCTTTATTTAATTTTTTTTATTTGAACTATTAAAATATTTTTAAAAAATCTTCGAATTTCAAGTTAAAGCAAACACATGAAGTCACATAATCTTGAATAAAGATTTACTCAAAGCAAATAAACTGGTTTCTTATTTATGACAGATTGTCAGGGTGAAACGATGATGTGAATATTAGAAAGGTTTCTTTGCACAGGTCAAGCACAGATCATAACTAGTGAAAAGTGTTGTTTGTGCTATGTTCAACTGCGTAGCTCCAGATTGAAGTTTTATATTATTGTTCAATCCAACAAGTCGAACTGTATGTTCATCACTATCTGAGCACACGAAATCACTGCATTCTAAGCATCAAAATCTCATCTCTCCATCCTTGAACAGATGGTAACAACCGTCACGAAATGCATGTGATAATGTATGGCCTACACAATGTGCAAATTGACTTAGGACGATGTTATCCATAGTACAGCTTTTTTTAAAAAAGAATCAACAGATTGTAGTTGATTTATTTGCATGTTTATACACGTTATCTACTTCCTGTTTTTTTTCAACATGTTGGGAAAAGTCATTCCTCCAATCATGTGTGACTGTAACGCAATAATTTGCAAATAACAAACTTGGAGAAATTCAACTATCTTAGGAGTGTAAGTGTGTGAGTGAAATATCAGGACATTGATGAATGACGATGACAATATGTAAGAGTGATAATATCCAATTAGGGAGTAGCCAAAATTGAAATTAATATATTTCAGGCATAGTGAAGATTTAGGTAAAATTAAAGAGAATTTCAAAAGATTTTTAAAATAAAAAAATCGAAATAGATGAAAAAAATGAATTGATCTTACATATTTATATTAAATTATGTTCAACTTTAATTCAAGTCTAGGTTGTTTAAGTAAGCTCCGGCCAAAAACAGTATAAAGGATCTATAAGCTTATGCTTTTTGCGTAGTATTTTTTATCGATGTTTATTTCTTATCGAATTTAACATGGTTCATATATGGTATGTAAAATGTAAATATATTCTATAGCTAAATATTATTGATTTCGTTTTTCAACTCAAAAAAAAACAAAGGGTTTTTTAGCTAAGGTAATTCCAGATGAGAGAAACATAAATATCTCTTATCAGGATTTAGCACTCCAAAAATTGAAAATGTTACTTCACTTGTTCATAAAAGTACTGTTAAAAATCATTTTTCCATGTTGACACAGAAGAAATTATTGATGCATGCATTACAACACAAATGAAAATAAACACTTAGTATAGTAAAAAAACAAATGCTTTTTTTTCACTTCATGCAAACGAAAGTTAGAATTTATTGTTGAATAAAAGAACATTATTTCATTGTTTTGCACCGAACTAATAACAAGTTTTGTCTAAGTTTAATTTTACCTATGATATATATATATGCAGTAATTTGCTTCAATAAAAGTGCCTAACAAATACATTCCTTTTTTTTGTTGATTACTCAATTCACCCCTAATTAAAGAATAGCAGTCCACTGGATGTATAATTTGTTTTGCAAGTATATTTCTATTGCCATTAATGGTTTTTGTGTTGTAGCTATGTTTTCATTATGGTTCAAGTATAGAAGTATTCAGCATTTGATAAATTCAGAGTTTCAAAATGTTTGATCAATTTTAAAATATCTATAATAGTTTCGATGAAACTAGAGGTAAACTGTCAGCTCTGTCCCAGTTCCATACTATTAATTAGACACAATAATAAGTTCTTTACGCTATTTAGCATATTCATACACTCACCTGTCTCGAATACTCGGTAAAACCTGGTATGAATACGAACAGTTATAATTAGTACAATACTTTAACTAAGAAATTAATGAACTTTGGAGAAGTCTTAAAAAACTCTTAATAGATATATGCTAATATAATGTTGCTGGACCAGTTCAACATAGAAGCTTGTACACAATTCAGAAACAAAAAGAGACATATTTAAATTATTTTGATAGACAAACAAAGTAAGCCTTTGATTTTGATATAAGAATCTTTAATTTCTAATAGATGGATAGATCAGATCTTATGAGTGCTACACAAATCAATACTATACAACTAATATCGATGTCAAATTAAAACAAGCATGAGTATTTTTGGAATAATTTTTGATGAGTTTTCAATGAAGTGGAAACAAGTCTGATTATGACTTTTATTATTCCTAATAAAATGCTCAAACTAAACTGTTTCTGTGCAGAGACCTTATTCAACGTTGATATTCAATTGTGGTGTTAACTGTGAAATTGTCCATTCGAGATTTACTATATTTCAAACTACAAAGAATTGATCGTGAAGATAGTTGTAATATCTCGATGACGTTTGAAGTTTTTCTTTCAAATAAATGCGGCGACGTGTTTGTGCTGTAAAATTTTTGAATTTTATTACTAAAAGTTGATTAATTTATTTTTATTTTAAGTTCTTTAGTGATCTACGAAAAAGAAAGATTTTATCAGAAATCGGGATAAAACCGAATTCGACTTTGTCGACATCATGATCGCGTTACGAAGTTCTTTGCAGATCTCTATATTTGTTGCGTCTTTTCAATGAAGAGATGCTTTATTTCTTTTTAAAAGTCATAATAACTGAACCATTTCCTAAATATTTATCTAGTCGACTATGCTGAACTAATTATGAACTTCAATATTTTTGCTATTTCCGTCATAAGATAAAACCATAATTTATTTTTCATAAAAAATTTATTCCGTTCAATCTGTTCAGCAAAATCTGTAGTAAAAAAAAAAAAATTTTGTCATTTATACAATGGCTCGTCTATCAATGGTATCGGTACAGTCTCCACTCTTTTTTTTATAATTAATTTATTCATCATTTTAGATCGGTCAACATACGGGAGAACTTGTTGTAGTTAGGTAATTTTAATTCATTTTGAAATTGGTTAAAAAAAAATTTTCGTTTCAACTAGAATTGGTAACAAACGTAAATGGAAAGTCATAGGATTTGTTTTAGCTGGTATTGCTTTTCTATTAGTTACCATTATTATAGCTATGGTTACTACTCGGCTTCTATGTAAATATATTTCGAGAATTTATTTATTGAAATAATAATGTTATTCACTTCTAGCATCTAAGTCGAGTGATAAATTAATAACAAATACAGCTGCGAATAACATCAGTAATAAAAATTTTATTTATTAAGAATATGAAATTATGTTTGTTTAGGTACCACTGTGAATATAACAACAACAGAAATAAATTTTATTGATAAAAATACAACTTTATTAGAAGATCAAACAACTACAACTTCATTTAATTTTGGTATACTTATACCAACTACGACTAAACCCAATGGTAATGTTACCTGTAAGTTCTTGGTCTTTTTGTCTTCTCTATTTTAATACATATTGAATTTAGTTACACCGGCCCTTATATCCGAATTTTTTGGATACGACGAATCTGCTGGTCTTTCGCTTAGTAATTCTATCTATTATAATGTCCCACATATAACTTACGTACAAGGATACGTAGTTAGTGTTAGTCTACGTCTTTTTACTAGTTGGGAAGGCGATGATCCACTTTATATTTTTGCTATATCAAAGTATCTTATTACTCATCAAATAGCATATCGTTATCCTATTGTTCCAGAAAGAAACAATACAGAATGGCAAACAATCGAAATTCCGTTTGGTGAATTTCGTCTGTTTCTTCACGATCATTTAGCTATTGGTATGCAAAGTTTTAGTGAAACAAATCAAATTTATTCTGTACGATCGGTTTTCTCAATACATGGAAAAAATGTTACAAATACTACAACACATGTTTTTCCACAAACGACAACAGGCTTCTACGGTGCTGCATACACTTTTACTGTTGTTGAAGATCGTAAGAGAATATTTAATAAAACTTCATTAGATCTATTGCTTTCTATTTAGGAGGATTTGAATGAAAAAGAGCACGCATTCATCGTTGGAAATATGTATTCAATTTCTAAGATATTCGATTTTTTTTGCTTTTTCTGTATATACTTGCATGCAATCTTCGTAATAAATTTATTGGTCTAAAACCAGGAAAAAGGGCCAGATGTTTCTTTTTTAGTTTATTCTTAAACAAGAATGTATGACTTTGTTAAGTTAGATCTCAAATATTGAGAGACTATTAGTTAATGGCATTAAATTTTCTTTATCACTTGAATCAATTAATCAAATGAAAACTATATAAACCTTAAATATGAAGATTGAAACATTTAATTTGAATGGATATAAAATCGAAGATGGATAATTCAAACATAAGAAAACAATTAGTGATTGTTCATTCTAATTTGCCGTGCATTTCTTTATTTCTTAATATGAAATTCTTCTAAAATTGTTTTTTCTCCAAATTGTATTATGTGCATAATCATAAACATTACAAACAGTTTACACCTTTGATTCAATGATTTCCTCTAACGAAGTTACATGGTTCTTTAGAGAATAGTATATAAAGTGATGAAAAAAAAAAAGTTTAAAAATGAAGTATTTTTGATTTAGTTGCAATAATCTTAACCATCTAGCTTAGATCCAAATAATGATCTTAATAGTCAATGGAGTTTTCTATGTAATGTATTCTATATCAAGACTACATAGATGAACTATAATGATGAAGTTTATAAAATAGCTGCACATGATAGTTTCTAGGTGCTAGAACGCTTTGTGTAACGTAAGCTATTTTTTAACAATATCATTTTAAAGAGCATGAGATTCTGAACGTATGAGTGCCGTCGAATTTTCTTAAAAAGTTGGAACTATCACAAAAGTCATAGAAATTGTGTTTGCTAACGATTTTTTGATCAATTTCGTTTTGCGAAACCCACATATATTTTCCAAGAAAATATTGTGAATGAGACTGTAAATGAAGATTTTTGCGTCTGTCCTCTCCCTAAAGGTTCTGGCAACGGAAAAAGGTGCATGAGTAAAAGCAGTGCTTAGATGATTCTGACACTTTCTAGAATCTTTCGGTGGATTCTATGAATCTAAGATTTCTACTACAGTTTCCAAGGTGTCTAAGTTTTGCAAGTCTAGATATCTAGCGCAACGAAAGGATCTGATAGTAAGTGTTAATCAACAGAGCTGTGATATGATTGATCTCGAAGGATCAGATTAGAGCGGACATAAAAAATTATAAACTAATCGAATTCAAAGTTTAGGTGAAACTGGCCAGTATATGTCAAAGTTCGTCAATAGAGAAGATGGTATATTGTAAAGCTTAGTGAACGATTAAATAAATCTGTACAGTAGTACGATATCGAGGTTGAATCGACGAAATCAAAAATAAAATGACATTTACCGCTTCTTATGGCATGTATCGTATATATTATGATTAGGAGGCAAGAAACTATGTATCGTAGATGTAGCTGACAATACACATAAGTTTTGTCAGTGTAACGATAGAATTGTAAGAAAATCATAAGCAAGTTAATATTCTTACCTAAGCAAAATTATAGCAAGGGACTTCATGTGTATGCCTGCAAATCGTCTCAGTTTGTATGATTTGTGATGATATCGGAAAATTTGGAGCTTAATTAGGATTTCAGCAGGGAAATCCTCGATTAATCGTTACTTATCAACGTTTTTCGATATATGAGATCAATGGCCATTTATCCATAATTTCATGACAAGATTGGCTCAATAGTTAAGCGAAGCATTCTATTCAATCTTTTCTTTCAATTCCAAGAGATGGAAATAACCATGTTCCAAAACGAATCGCTTTAAAACTATTTTTAGAATTATATAGTTTGTTACAACCTGAAGATTCATACTAAATATGTGCTGGTGCCCAAGCAAACTGATATGGTGGTTTTGTGCTCATTTTCTACAAAAAAAAAAGAATAAAGTGTTCACCGTATCTGTCGATGCCAGTTTTCATTAAGATTTCCAAAGAAACTTCAGGTTCTTGTTCATTTTTTCGATCAGAATGCCAAGGTTTTTTAGAGAAAAAAATTCATAAAATGGATATGAAACAAAACGGAAGAAGTGCCAAAATGTCTTAAAATTCAAAGTTTTTTCCTAAAAATGAGCAATAGTTTGTGACTTTTCGAAAACTACAGCTTAATTTCACATAAACAAAAAAAGTTGAGTAAATTGTTCCTTTATTGTACCAAACTAGTATACAAACAGATAGGTCTGTCTGCTTTAGAGTATTCATTGAAGCCATTAAAAAAACAAAGGAACATATACATCATTGCCTGTTGTACATTTGAATTATCTCATTTTATTCCTCAAGCGCTGCAGAGTTGTTCAGCATGATGTTACACGTAAAGAATACTTTTCTTGTCATGAAGAGTGAAAAAAAGAAAAGACCTTTTCGATCACTGTGAATCACTAAAAATCAAAGTATTCAAGAAACGATGCGACATCCAGTCAGAGATCGTTAACGAAAAATCTACAATACAGTATGTTGTACTTATATTTCAAATTCTATCTAAATTTTCACTTAGCACATTTTTCGATAACGGTTTATTAGTATAGTATTGTGATGAGTAAGCATTATCCTGGACAAGAATAATGCAATATTATATTCAATTTCTCCTATGTCGACTAGAAAATTTCATGATCGTCATTGTCATGTACGTAAGATTATATGTATATCAAACTGATGATAGTCGTCAGTTAATAGGTCGATTGTGGAACGTTAGCATAGAGGCTATATTATGAATCATAAACAGTAATTACAAAATTTCGAGTTACAATACAAGTCGAGGAGTAATTATAAGAAATCGTCTTCTTGTATGATTGCATCACAAGATTATTTCACAATTGATCGGACTAATTAATCACGATAAAATCGTTGATTTTAGGCGATCATCACTACAAGTAAGAATATCAAGCTAGTATTTTTATGCTTATTGGTTTTTGGATATATTAATGAAACTTTCAGTAAATAGTTATTGAGATATTCATTATCTGAATTATTTTCAGATATGACTAATAAACTAAACACAATCCATGTAATACACTGTAACTCGATGAAAAGTTAGTTTATTTTCAAAAATAAAAATGATACAGTAAATTGAGCAATGTAAATATATCGTACGTGAGATTTTTTTAGACAAGTGCCTCTAATATTGGACATACGCGTTGAACAAGTGATCGAAAGAGGAACACATTCATACGAAATATTTGTCGTCTCATACTAATAGTCCAAATTAAATTATTAATCGAGTCGGCCAGATATTCGATAGTATCAGCAACTATATTGACAAAGACAAAAATGTAATTTTCAATGTTTGTTATTATCAAAGTATCAAGTTGTTCTCACTTACTAAATAACCAGTAAACTTTGGTCATAACTTTTTCTCAAAATGAAGGTATTGATGTAGTCAAGGTTGACGATAAAATTACATCACCATAATGGTTCAATCTAAGATGAAAAAGCTGTTATCACAATCGTTGTGGGGTCAACAATGAAACACGACATAGTTATTGATGCTAATCACGGGAAATTGCATTATTCTATCTATTGTGGGCCACACCTCTTCACTATTCTTTAACTGAATCATCCAGAAACGCAATACGAAAATAGTTGAAACACTATAACGAGACGTTATTGAGATGCAATTTGTGGTGGCTTTTGGGTAGTGTCTGCTGATCTCTGAATAGTGTCGCTCGCAGTCTGTTATGGTCTGTAGGAAAGAGTGCAAATTTCACCTCTGCATACTTCAATACTTCGTTTATATTGTGTTTCACAAAAGTATCAAAGAAAAATTTAAAAAAATACATATGAATCCATGATAAATCTTAGTGAATTACTTATGCGATGAATCACCGTTGAATATATTGCTATCGATGTTTGAAAAGTATGTGGTCTTTTTTCTAATTAAAGCTATTAAATTTTGCGTTTGTTGATCACATTTGTCACCCAATGACTCAATAGCAAATAGTCCTGTGAGTCGACCAAAGAGAAATAATATAGCTAGAACGCAAACCGTTTGCAGTACTATCAAACACAAAGCAATGAATATCAGAACAAAATTGATACCATTTTCAAACCGAAACTACAATAAAATCGAATACATCAATCAATTGATATTTAATCTGAATACACTTACTAAGTGGAAAACATTAACTGCTTCACTTTTGCCACAATGTTCAGTATCATTATCTAATGTTATATATTTATTTTCGTTCTCTTTTCTACTAAACCATCGGCCCCAACCAGTAAAACTACAAACAATGATAAACTCATTACATTTTTCTTGAAGCTTGTTATTTAATGGAATTTACGTATTAGTCAAAAGTTGTTCGTTGTGTCCATTACCATCATCATTATTATCAACAGATCATTTCTTGAATACATCTAACAGAGGTTGCCTATCACTCATTTGACTTTTTTTAATAAGACTGTCGTCAAAATATAAAAGACAAGCGTGAAAAATGCCTACATAAATGTCAATCAATGCATGACACTTGATTGATCATGCGTTTCTTTTTTTCTCTGATTTTCATTTGAATGAAAGCAAATGTACACTTAAGTAGTCAAACAATCTGAAAAAAAGCAAATTTGCAAAAACAGCCTTGCGTAAAATTACTGACAAGTATGAATCGAAAGACGATACCTATAAATTATTAATGAATCTGGCTAGCCTAATTACAAATCAAGTGTAAGCTAAAACAGACATTGAGATGTGTTCAAATTCAGATAACAAACTTTCACGAACGTCTTCACTTTGTACACGATCACCAGACTTCTAATTCTAACTATTGAGTTTTATTAGAGCTACATAACTTATATTTTTTATTTTATTTTTTCCACCCAATGAATCATTACATGAGAGAACATGCTTGACTTTTTGGAACAATTGGTGCACTTGATATTCGTTTTGGTCGTTGATCAATATTATGACTATGTCGAGAAGCCGATATAGGCCTTTGCATTTCGAGTAAATGTCGCGGTTTATCCGTCTGCACATTTGGTATAATTTGTTTAAGTTGAGCAAGTAACAGTACAAACTGTTTTCCTGTCCATCTGTTATATCTGTTTGAATGTTGAAAGTCAATATATGGTTTTTCAGAAAACATTGATAATTTAAGATCGGGAGGTGGCCATGTATTCGTTTCTTCGAGTAGTAAAGGTATGATAGGTTTATGAAAAGTATTAGCTAATAATATTTCATGTTGAGAATTAATCGATTTCATATATTTTGGTGTAATACAAACAAGTAAACATGATGATTGTTGAATCACAATATTATACTTATCTAACAACGAATCACCACCTCCCATTTGAAATATATCGAGCCAAATTCGGTATCCTAATTGTGTTAATTGCTTATAAAGATTAAGAATATCTTTTTGACAATCCCATTGATAGGAAATAATTATTTGTGGATGTGAAATTACTAGTGGAATATCATTAAATGAGATGGCAATATTTTCTTCCTGTTCATTTGATGATTTCAAAAAGATAAGATTATTAAGACGAGGTACAAACCAATGATAATATTGTTCACAAATCATATCAGGATTAGGTGCAACATGATAACGAATTTGACCGAGTAGTTCAATAAATTTATTTTCAGGCCAATCATTCGTCTTTTCATGATTATAAAATTCAATATACAGATGATCATCAAGAATATATTTAAGTTTGCTTTCTAATGGCCATGTTTGCTCTTCCATATATAAAAGAATAAAGGGTTTTTTCATGTTTAATATCAAATCAAATACTTTTGAACAGTTTTCTGATTGATTATAAAGTATGCTAATACAACATACGATCACTTTAGCTCCACGAATATGAATATCTAGAATATTAATTTGAGTTTGATCATCATATATTTGACAAGCGTATCCAGCTTGTTCTAAATGATCTTTCAATTTAATGATGCGTATTTGTTCACTAGAATGAAATGAAAGAAAAACTGGTGGCAGACGTTTGATATTAACTGAAAAATCATTTAGAATAGTTTGTCCTGTTTTTAATACTTCTTGTCGAATAATTTGTTCAACATCATGTCGACCAATATCATTAAGTACTTTAATAAGACTATAAATAGCTTCTTCTGTTGTATGTGTCATAAACCATTCGTTTAGTAAGGCCATACAAGGATTTGTTTGCATTGTCCAATGTTTTATTTCACTACATGAAAATCCAAGTTGCTTACCAAGTAAACGCCAATCATTATTACTTTGATGATTAAGTAATTTAGACACTTGATAGCTCCAAGAAGGAATAGTATTCATCTATGAAAAAAAGAAATTATTATGAAAAATAAACATCGTCAAAACTTACATTTGTTTGTTCTATTTTGGTATTCATCTTTGTTTTATTAATACACATTTCGACTTTTTCAATTTCTAATCGAGCTCGTTGAATTGTTACCTGATCTAATTCACTAATTGTAGCATTATCAATATAATTGACTATTAAATTCGAACCTAATACTGTAAAATCATGACGTCGATTAATTAATAATTGTTTATGTCTCAAGCCGATAAGTAAACAAGTAAAGAAAATCTCTTGTTGAATTTCATTTGAACATTTATTATTTTTCAAAATATCAATAAGTATATTAAGGTATTCATTTGCTTTATTTTCATTATTGATAATTATGGATGAAATAATATAATTTCGAAAACATTCAAATATTAATAAATTTTGTTTTTCAATAATTAAACAAATGAATTTTTCACGATGTGCATCAAATAAATAAGGATTACAGTTAGCTACACAACTAAGTGTTTGAATAACTATACAAAGTTCATTATTGAATGGAATTGTATCTATCGATGAAAATATACGATCAATATGTTTCAATGAAACTATTTCAGGATATTTTCTGACGATTAGCGAAAATAAACCACATAAATGAGATAAATATTGTCCATCATCAATTAATAGTATGTTAAGAAGATCGTCGAAATGTGAATACAATAGTTCAGTATGTTGAACACATAGTGTCTAGAATATTGTTGTGGAAAGTTCAAAGAACAACATATAATTCGTAGTTATTAGAGATGACCACAGGACTTTTTGTTCGCGATCGTGTCATAATCAAGCTCGAAACATGTGCCAAAGTCGTCAACAGATACATAAGCCTAGATTTGGCTACTTTTAGCAGTGAGAAAAATCGACCCTAACATGACTAGAATCGAGAAGAACTGAGGCCGGGAAATCGGAGTTAGATTAAATGATGAATTATATTTTTTTTATCGTATATCTTTCAACTTTTTCGTCTTGAACGGAACCGTCCAAAATAGATAAAAATCAATAACATACATCAATGTTTCATTCTATTTGAATACTCAATTATTTAAGCAACGTTAATAAAAAGAGTTTTATCGTAGTGAATTTACTTAGTCAGGGGATATGTCTTGCTAGTATGAATACTTAAATTACTTGTGACAGGATTCGAGCATTTTTTATGTATATATTTACACTTTTTGTGTACTCTTATAAGTATTCCTATTAGTTTATTCTCTTCAAGATTTATTCATAAAGGAGAACAGAAATGTTCAATGTAGAACTCATTCTACTTGTTTTCGACTGTTTATTTGTGAATCTTTTATACTATCCACCTTACCACAAGATGCAATAGAACAATAGATTTTCTACGATTCTTTTTCTGAAATCTAGCGGCTTTTAATTTTAGCACAGAAAAACTTGTTTTCTGAGCAAAATACAATTTTTTAAAATTGAAATAACTAGTTTTTTTTTAATAAAAAATTTCTTTTCTAAGTAACAGTCCTAGTTTTCGAGCATTTATTTGCTAAAAATTCCTGTTTGATTACCAGATTTTTTGACCATAAAGGCTACTAGATGAAAAAAAATCCGGCTAAAAACATTCATCTGTGTGTTATTTGTAATCATCAATATAGTGCCTCTATGTATTATCGCACTTCTCAATTTCATTGAATAGGTTTATTACTTCATTTGTCTCCTCATGTAAAATACTATTCTTAAAGTGTGCATTGATTTATTCCTACTTTATCAGATATAAATAACAAAAACCCTTTATGTTTACAAAAGAATTCAGTTAATTTTTCGTTTGTGTAATAAAAATTAAGAAAATATGTAGCTTTTTTTTTCTAGATCTGCCTCGATGTTGTTTTGTTTTTGACATCAATATTTTACAAGTATTAGCCTGTGAACATCTTTTTAAGGTCTTGTCGACTTGATGTTGTACGCACAAGATAATTTATATTCTTCAATAAAAATATCGAAAGCAAATAAGTCGAAGTGAAGTTTAAGGAAAATTACAGTATTTTTCTTTGGTGTTACTTCAGTAAATTGTTTCTATCATCAAGTTTCAGGTATTTATCTATCAAAAATCTTGTTAACGTAGCCTTATAAATAAAACATTGTAGAATTTACATACTTCAATTAGACTGAGAAATACTTTAATGTAAAGATTTTTTAGTTTAATTCAATATAATTTAAACATTCTACCAAGTCAAAGAAAATGGCAAGTGTTTTTACTGCGCTCCTATCTATGAAGAGAGAGATGAGAAGATGGAAAATTTTGAATAAAATTTACATTTACATATTTGACCTTTGAATTCTGCAACAGATAATATTATAAAAAACAGCTCAATAATAATTAAATCATCGAATTTATAATGCAAAATTCCTTACTAATAATAAGCTGCTTAGAGTCATATCTTTGCGATTGAATGTACAATCAAGAAATTGTTCAATATGATTAATAGCTACAGTTTGCACTTGCACACCAGCTATAACCCAAAAATGGAGCCACATTTGAAGAAGCATTGTTTTATTACCATCTTTAGCATCAATATACATTCGATCAAGAAATGGTTCATAAAGATGAGCATCATTTTCATTGAAAATACTCGAAGCTGTTTTGTATAATACACTCACTAAAGTAACATGGTGAAATGTCATATTGTGATCTTCATCATAGAACGAATAATCAAGTAGAGATACAAAGAGAGCAGCCAATTTTGAATGCACATTATGTGAAAGTCTTTTAAGTTGCATGATAAAATTACCAAGATGGTTCGCCATGTTCTAAACGAAAAAGAAACTAATAAAATAAAAGGAAAAAAAGTTGTTGTCACGATCCTTGCGAGATTAAAATGTGAAACACTATACAGCTGCTATTGCTAATCACAAGGAGATTGTTATCATTTTATCTATTATTTTTGAACATATTTCATTATCTTCCTTTCACTAAATCCTCCAGAAATACAATAAGAAAATAATTCATATATTAGAACGAGATGTTATTGATGCACGATCTTTGGTTGTATATCAACGATGCCTGTTCATTCTGCGTAGATCCACGATAAATGAAATTTATTTCGTTTTACTATTATATTAGAACGTTAGTGTGAATAAAGGAAATACGCTCATCCACACACATTCAACCCAAATCCAAAAAAAAACACAAGGGACTAAAAAATGAAAAATATGAAAGTCATAGTAGCTCAAAAAGCATAAAATCAAAACGAGATCAATTCTATTTCTCGTAGACGTCTCAAGTATCTACTTCATATACTTGAACGCTTCTGTTAAATCGTCTTCCATAAAAAAAAAGAATTTTTTTTTGTTTAAATTAAACTTACATTAAGAAAGAAGCGATTCTTATTATTGATTTCTTCGTTATCACAACTAACTCGAGTTTGTATAGCATCAATAAATTTCATACATATATCTTCATTTATTTGTTGTAAGTCAATTAAATTCAATACAGAATTTCCCATTTGATAAACATGATGACTTCCATTAAATTGAGTATTTGACCATCGAAGAACAGCTTCAACACTAATTGGATGAATGACTTTAGAAAGCATTGGATAAACTTGTGTTTTTCCATATATTAAATCAATAATATTTTCTAATCTATGTAATTTACTAAAATAATCGTTTTCAATAATGACATCATACGAAATACAAGTCTTTACTAAATCAGCTAGACCATCTGTTAATTCTTGCCATGGATAAAAATCTTTTCGTCTTAATAAACTATATGACAACTCCGGTGCATCACAAACACATAACTTCAACATGGCTAAAACTAAATTAAAAACGATTACGGCTAAATTTTTCTTGATTTGTAAATTTTCTAATGGCGAAATAAGAGTCTGGAGAATTTTTGAACAAAATAAATCTCGATTTTCAACTATTGAACAAAGTCGAATTGTTGTAGATAATAAAACTTCAAGATCGATTATAGATAGATTTGGAATAATTACTTTAGATAATAGTCGATAAGCATCATCATAATTATTTACCAAAATTAAACGTTCAAACATTGTTAATAATTTTACATAGCCTATTTTTATTAACTCATTATCATTTTTATATGATTGAATTAATTGAGTTATACAATCAGAAGATATATTTTCAATTGATAGATTTGTATCGGATAGAATTATGTTCCCTGATATTTCATTGTTGAATATTTCAGATGAATATTCATTTAATGTTGTTGCAATTTTTAACCATACTGATGATTGTTGAGATTGTTGAACAGCATGCCTAAATAAATATATTTTCTTGCAAACGGAGTCATGACAAACAGAGATTTTTGAGACGATGCAACTATCCGAGATTCGAGTAGATATCGAAAAAAAACCGATACATTTTGTTTTTATCGACATCGAAAAAGCCTAATATTTGAATTATAACCGAAAATGTCACGTTTTTCTACAGTGCAGACGAACTTGATCTCTACAAAGAGAAACTTACTACGTAGATCCGTAACGAAGTTATGAGTATTTTATAAGCAATTGTGACGTTTGGGACAACGCTGTAGTTTTCATTCCACAGCTATAATTTTCATATGTTTAAAAACGGAAATTATGGATGATATTAAAATATCGAAGAAGAAGAAAAAGAAGAAGAAATTGTCAATAATTCTACGGGTAACAGGATAAAGTTTGATTGCTAAAAACTTTTCCGAGTATATTGTCAAACGAAAAAATAAAACTTTTTTATTTTACTTGTAAAATTTTTGAAACGTTGCTTCCATATCTTCTATAGTATCTTGTTTATTTAAAATATTCGTATCATTTGTTGAATTCGAAAAAATGTTTTGAGTTAAAAATTTTTCCCATTTTTCAGTATCTTCGTCAGAGTTAAATATAAATGTTTTATTTTGTAAACTTTGAAGAATTTTTTCAATTAAATCTGTCTTAATTGGTGTTGAATATAGTCGTTCACCAATTTCAAATCTTTCATAGATTGTTTCAAGAAACTTTAAATACCATTGATCAACTCTTGACGAATCAAGAATACGAATAAAAGCATTTATTAAATCATTAATTTCAATAGATAGTGTTTTACTAATCAATTGTTCAATCACCATAGTAATTAATAAATATTTTATATAGCATGGTGATGAGTCAATTGGTTCTGTAAGTAAATAATCGACAAGTGCATTTAAAACTAATTTTGAATCATTCGGTATTGATACTTCTTCAATATGAGTATATATGTCAGGCCATTGTTGTTCTAAAAGACTATTATCGTGTGTTAATTGTTTAATAAATTCATCCATGACTCTGACTTTTTGTGAACACTTGACAACAAAATATTCTTTGAAAGAGAATGATACAGGAAGAAAATTTTGCTTCTATTTGACAGAAATGAAAAAAAAACGTTCTTTTTTTCTTTAGTTGTTTTCTTTTTCATGAATCGAAACATAACGACGGGTGACAACAACAAATGAATTAAATTTCAACACAAAATTCGACCTATATAATCCAAATAATATTGTTTTGAAGATCAAATTTAGATAATTAACTTATTTAAATATTATAGTAAAAGAAAATGTCAACAATAACCGATCTTAGTGTAATGTTACACATGACAACTATATATACAGAGAATTGACGTAAACTAGTAGCCATGATTACCCATACTCTATTGATTTTTCTTTTGAATTTTTTTCTCAATCATTCCAGTCTCCATACTCGATGTACGGTTAAGTTTGTCAATTATAAGCAGAATAGGTAAAACTTGCATGAAATACGAAATGTTTTGATTTTTACCGATCGAAATTATGTTTATGAGTATTATTTAATACACTTGATTTTGTGCCAATAATTAAGTATTCGATAAAGTATTCAAAAAAAAACAAAGACACAATTTTTAATATAATACTTCTAGTTGACGAAGCTTCAGCTTCTTCATCTATACACATATTGTCTTTCGCACAATCTGTAACTCAAATCACAGATGTCCACTGCATCAAAATCAGTCTATAAAATCTCATTAATGTGATATCATCTTATTTGTTAAAATGCTTGTCATTTTTCCACATACTTTTTAAGAAGAAAAAAGAGTATTAGTTTTTTTTTATTCGATCGTTGTTCGTTTTTCAACTATTGACAAGTTTTTTTTTCTATGTTCTCTATTTTGTTTGCTTGAAGTTCGATAGATTGTCCATGATAAAAGAATTATTTTTATTGACAATATAACATTATTGCACACAAAAAAGAAAGAAAAAAAAAGTTTCACTTTTTTTACTATATAAAAAATTGAAAGAGTACAAGTATATCCTTCTTACAGAAGAACTGTTGAAGAACACATTAAACGATGAATTCACAGTAAGTTTAGATATGAAAAACTATTGATTCATATACAAAAGGAAAAACAATGGTTTCTTTTTATAGGAATTATGAAAGTTTAACTGATCCACATTTAAATGCATATTTTAATAATAAACGTATTCGTCGACATTTGATAAAAGCTGGATTGGTATAAATTTTTATTTTAAAAGAATTTTGACATTCTTTCATGCCTATGTGTGTGTTGTGGAATAGATCAATCGACATGGTGATATTTTACCGCCTTCATCTTATGAAGTTGTACTTGCTAGACAAACGAAACGTAGAGAAGCAAAAGATAAATTATCACATATGATTGCTAATTAGTAAATTAGATTTTTTTCCATATTGATTTTAAATTGTTTTCTCTTTTTTTTTTTAAGTGTCGTAGAAGATGAACAGAAACGTCAAGCATTTCTTCGTAATCAATTTGAATTTGCTATAAAACGTGCTCGAGTACAAAAAATTCGAGTTTGTTATTAGAAGTTTTAGTATTTTACTTTCACTCGATCATATATTTAATAGAAATCAAGACATCCACAACAATCTATGCTAACTAGTTTAGTTCATGTTACTAAACGTTCAAGAAGTAGAAATGCTCGTACACCATCCCCAGTTAGTAATAAAACCATCGAATATATTCTTCTCAATTTTTCATTGGATAGACTGGTCGTAAACATTCATCAGTACGAGCTAAATCAGCTGGTCGTCCACCAATAAATGCAAAAAATCAATTAGTTCGTCGTCCAACAACGGCAAAAGTAATATACATTTGTATATCGGCATAAGTTTTCAAAATGTCAGTTTAATTGATTGAGTTTTAGACGAAAAAATATGGATGCAAATGCAAGATTTTTTTTTTCTACGAAGATTTCCAATTGAACCAAAGTTTTTCAAGACTAGAAAAAGAAATTCCAAAAGATTAGCACTGATTGACTCGGCTTGTAATCTCGTTTATGTTTTCTTTCGATAATGATAAACCGCTTATAGTGTAATATAAGTTATTAGTATATGAGCCATTATCGAATCAACGATTGACAGTATGAAACAATAGATGAATAATGAGAAAGAAATAATATCATTTTGCACCAAAATTTTCACTACAACGAAAAAACAGAATTCATTCTGTCTAGGATGTAGACATTATTGATATTTCAATTTCGATCTTCTGCATATTTTTTGAAACTGACTCTTCTTATCAATTGTATTTTTTGTTTTAGCATACATCAAATAATGAATATTGTGAAGTAACTATGATTTACTATGGACCACAAACAATGATTGATTATAAAAAAAAATGGTTTCAACCCAATGGTGATGAAATCATGATAATGCAACAACATTGTGGTGGTGAAAATCTTATTGTTTTCAAAGGCTTTGTCAAACCAAATGGTAAATCTACTTTTATTATTATTTTTTAATGTTTTTTTACTTTATCTTAAATATAAATTTTTAGAAATATTCAAATTTGAATCTCGACGTCATCCAGAATATCCATTTGCTGTAGCTCTATATATCAATGGTCTTATTGATAGTCGAATATCTGTCTGTTGTGAATATAAACATAAACATAATGTTCGATTAGGAAGTAAATATGGTTTATTTGGTATATATAATGTTCAAAAATCACAACCTTGTCGAAGGTATATAAATTTCAAAGTCTTCTCTTGTATTATCTCAAGCATTTTTTAAAGTTGTCGATTTGAAAAACGAATAAAAGATGTATTACCAACGCCATCGAATATTATTAATCCATCTTCGTATCGAAAATCAATTGTACCAAGTGTTCTATCAACAAATGAATTTTGTTCTGCAGTTTTACTTCGAACACCAAGTCCATTTTCCGACAGTATTTGAATATAAATTTAAGTATTCTTTTGAATGTTATTTACTTTATTCTAGAAGAAGAAGAACCATCCGAACAAAAATTCAATCGTATTTCTACCATAGCTGAAGTATGTACAAGGTCGGTTGATAGTTTTTTTTTTTGAATATTACCTTTAGCCTACTCTGAGTCCAAGAACACGAAGTTCCGTATCATCACAAAACGAAAAAAAAATAGAGGAATTACAACGAGATGAATCAATAAACGACAACTCGAATTTAATATTTGTGAGTTATTTTTGTTATTTCTAAATCTTATAAAAAAAGTTGCTTGAAAATTTGAAGGACACTAAACCAAATACACCTGATCGACAATCAATCGATAGTAAGACAATGATAAATATCCGTATTCAAACACACCAGTGTTTTTTATGCATAGGAACAAAAGATGAAAGTAGAAAATCATCGAGAGTTTCATCGAGTACTTCTAAGAAATCCGTTCCAGATTCATCGGTTATTTTATTAAAAAATGAAGATCCTGATGGCTCGTTGAAATTATCGTCAATAAAAAGAAATAGTGATGAAAAGGCAACAACAAGTTCAAGAAAATCTACTTCTTTATCAATATCCTCTTCTGGAACGGAAACTGATGAGTCTTCATTTGAAACATTGTTAGAAAAAGTTCATACTGAAAAACAGACATCGAGATCATCATCTAGTAGTTCGACGAAGTCGGGTTCTTCTATCGAAAGCAAAAACAATGATGAACGACTCGAAAAAGATAAAGTTCGTACTTCCTCGACGAGTTCATCTGCAAGCGAAAGCGTTGATCGTCCGCTGAGTTTTGATGATTATTCAGAAAAACAACGTCACTCATCCACATCATCATCGAATACAAGTGAAATTGGCCAGCATTCTATTAAAGATGAACTTGAGTCTCATCATTCATTGATATCTTCAGCCGACAAACAACAACCTACTGATACATATGATCAAAATTTGCTTGAGACGGATACTACGTCAAGTAATGATGATATCAAATCCGAGTCATCAGCTAAACAAAAGGGACATAATGAAGATAAACGTACGTAGTTTTTGTTTCATAATTAATAGATTAGAAGATTAAAATTTTGTACTTAAATTCCAATTCAACTCAGAATTACTGAAAGTAGTTTCAGGATGCTTTTTTTTCCTATAAATGGCTTCATATTTTTCCAAATGAATAAACCATAACTTTATCTATTTAACCGTTATCGAAAATTCCGATTAAATTGACTATTTACATTGATTGCCGAGTTTTTCTATCAAACATGCAACGAGCGGAAGAAGAACTAAAATAAATACCTTTAACAAGTCAAAATTTTCTTTTGTTTTTCTCTTCTCTCGAACTGATCAATTACTTCTGAGTCGAGATAATCCACATTATTTAGATCCAAATAAGCTATGAGTACTCTGAAAAGAATTCGTGCTCTTTATTTATTGCTATGAACATGCTTTTGTGTTAGTGTTTTAAAATAAACATCATGGTAATAGAAAAACTTATTTTCGATTTTCGACTTGAAATCTTGCATGGAAACAAGCCATGACATGAATAATTATTTGTGAATGTTTTATATCTTGTCACCGTTCTTATCCTAAGATACAACCTGAGTAATAGCGTGTCTTTTATACCGCTTCAATAGCCCAGCAATTTTGTTGTTTTTATTGCAGGGAACAAGCAAATCAGAAGATCCGATATTGATCTTATTAAGATCTATTTGTGTGCAAAGGTCCAAGTCGAAATTTGAAGATCACTTTTTCTATTACTTCGACATTCATTAAAAGAAATGTCGTAAAAATATAGTATCTCCTTAGCACTAAAAACAGAGCACAAGCTTTTTTCAGAGTATTCATAGCTCTATTTGAATTCGCATTATTCACATAGTCTCGATTCAAAAGCAAGTGAATAGTTGGAAGACTTTCATCGTCAATGCCATTTCTTTTAATGGTGTAAGACATGTATTGATTCTAAAATTGAAATAAAGTTCTGACATTCACCCCATAGTGTGCACTTAAAGACAGCAGCCTTTTCTTCTTTGTTCCCAACGAGACTTAAGTATATGTCAAAAATATATATGAATTTACAGAGCATTTTCATGAATTCTTATCGAATACGATAGAAGAATGTAAACGAATAGTTTAATTTATATTTAAAACCATTAGAAACTCAATCTGACAAAAATCCTGTACGACAATATCGTTCAATGGAGAATATAATTGTTGCGTGGCTTGGCGCAACAGTAGATAATATCGATGATGATACAATTAATTCAAAAGCTCAATTACGCCAAATAGCACGTACTATACGAACATTCAGTGATCCAGAAAAATGTATTCAATGGATAAAAGAAATAAAAAGTGAAAAAATTTTTCTAATTGTTTCTGGTGATCTTAGTGAAAATATTCTTGAACAAGTTGATTATTATGCTCAAATTGCTGTTATTTATATATTTTGTCCACAAAATTCCAAATATGAATATTTAATTGATAAATACAAAAAAATAAAAGGTGTTTATACAGATATATCGATAATATGTGAACATTTAAAAATTGATTCAAAACAATGGGATAATGATTTAAATACATTTCAAACAACTTCATCAATTGATATGAAACAGTTAAATTCAGAACAATTACAATTTATTCAAAATCAATTATTTAAACAATATTTACTTGACATTAATTATGATAAAGATGCCATTGATGATTTAGTTGAATATTGTGAAAATCTCTATGCTGAAAATACCAAGGAATTAGAATTAATAAAACAATTTGAAAATGAATACAAGTCAAATGATGCTTTACATTGGTATACAAAAGATTGTTTTGCTTATCATATGCTTAACAGAGCAATTAGAATGAAAGATATTACAATTCTTTTTCAAATGGGCTTTTTTATACGTGATATTAATCAACAATTAGAAGAAGATTATTTAACAACAAAACAAAGATCAAGATTAACTGTATATCGTGGTCAAGGGTAAAAATATCTTTTACGTTTGTTTTTATCATCGAATAATAAGTTTAAAATTTACAAGTTCGATAAAATGAAATATTCTGAAAGTAGATTCTTTAGAAATTGCTAAAAGAACTGGTTTTCGTAGAAATCATAACTCCATTTAATGCTTTCTTTATTTATTCATCTTGCTTATGTACATGTTAACAGGTCATATTTTCAAGTAGCGAACAGTAATGTTAAAGAATCTGTATAGATTTTGACGCTTGATGCTTTCTTTGCAACTTTTTAAATAGCTTCTGATAAAAACGAGATGGAAACCTAAGGTTTTCATCGTTGAAAAGTGAATATGATGATGCATCCAGTCGTATATAACAGATTTTTCTAGAAAGTTTTTTGAAAATCATGACAATGAATTTACAGCTTTCAGAAGTGCATTAAAACTGCCGATCGAAGATTTACAGCACTGTGCAAGCCCTAGATTTTTTTTTTAGTTGTTCAAGAGTTATCATCTTTTTACTATGATATTTGATCCGACTTTTTTGAGAAAACTTGCTTTCTCAATCTATCTCAAAAGCTTGATTTTATTGGATTGTAATGGTGAAAATCACAGCTCTCTATCTTGTTTCTATCGAAAGTTATTTAAAAAAAAATACTCACAACTCTTTTTTTTCTGAAATAGATCATGATTACTTCTAAGACATTAGTATGATCTCATGAGAAGATCTTAAAATTTATTGCTACTTTTTTTTAGTTCATTTTTTGCTTCGCCGTCTTTCATGTATTAAGCTTTTCGTCAACCTTGATATGAAGATTCACTTAACTCGTAGTGAAACGTGATATTTAGAGTGTGGGTATAGACGATAGTTACACTCAGACCCTAGTCACTACTTACCACTCTGTATAATTGCTGTTTCCATCACTATTATTAACAGAGATAATGTCATCGGATAATATCCTTTTCAAAACTTCATCTTAAGTACTCGAAGTTCATATAGATATAGTTGACCAGGGATCACTCTTTGTTTACATTTATAGTAACTTTCCTTGAAGCTCAGAAATTATGAGACACTTTTATCCAGCTAGAATTATCTCAATAAATAAACACCTAAAACTAAGTACTTTTGCTAGTGTCATTTATTATGTACGATCAATATTTTATGTGAAAACACTTTAAATTCTGTGGTATATAAGTTGAAAAATTAAACTAATACAACAGTCTACTGATACATTTATTTTCTCAAAATTTTGACCGGTGAAAATTTGAATTACTTTTTCATTAACAATTTTTCCAAACTATTTTAATCTCATTTCCTACTTGTTGTGCAATTGTAGAGCAAGTTTCTCTGAAGAATATTTATCAACGTTTTTTTTGTTAACTTTCTAGAATGAAACTCGAATATTTTGAAGAATTAAAACGAAATCAAGATGGTCTTATTTCATTTAATGGTTTTCTCTCAACTAGCACTAAACAAAGTATTGCTCATGAATTTGCTCAACGATCATTATCAAATGGATTTTCTATTGCTGTTTTATTTCAAATGCAAATTGATCCAACAAATAGTTCATGTCCATATTCTTCATTAGAAAATCAAAGTTCTAATCAATCTGAATATGAAATTCTGTTTTCATTAAAAGCAATATTTCATATTGAGTCTATTGAACCAATTGAAAATAATTTTTGGCAAATAGATTTAACCTTAATTAATGAAAAAGAAAATCTAATATCACATTATATTGAAATCGAACATAACAAATTCAATCATTTAATTGATTATGAAAAATTAGGTGAATTATTGATTCAAATGAATGAATTCGATAAAGCAAAAGATCTTTATGAAGTCAATGTACCAGATATATCTGATCCAAAATACACATATGTCTATAATAAATTAGGATTAATTTATACAAATTTAAAAAATTATAATCAAGCACTTTTATATTATAATCTTTCACTTGAAACAAAATCAAATGAAACTTTAAATGATTATGTAACAATATCTAATATACATAATCAGATTGGAAAAATATTTTATCAACAAGAAAAATTCGATAAAGCACTAGAAAAATTTCAATATGCATTAGATATGCAATTAGAACATTTATCATCAACACATCCATCATTAATAAATACATACGAGCTTCTTGCAATGACTTATGAAGAAAATAATGATTATCAAACAGCACTTGAATATCATGAAAAAAAACTTGAAATTCAAGAAAAAACATCTTCATCGAAAAAATCTGATTTAGCTTTAACACATTTTAATATTGGAATTTGTTTAGAAAATTTAAATCGATTAACTGAAGCAATTGACCATATACAACAATCAATTGATATGTCACCTTTCAATGATTCAGAATTAAATAATAGACAAGCAGTACTTGAAAGAATTCGTGAAGAACTTCAATAAATATTATCCAAAATAACAAAAATTTTAGACCAAGAAAGGTGAATTTGAAACTGCATAAACTTGGAATTTCTGCTTTGACTTTCTCATGTTTATATGTTACCAATCATATATATTAATTAATGATTAATTACGTAGTACTCAATTAATTGGATTAGACTTGAAATTTCGAGTTTACATGTTGTGCTCACTTTTCTATACCAAATTTTTATTGATTTTGAATAAAACAAAAGGAGAATATTTCCTATCATGTTTGTTGACAATTGTACTTTAAAAAACGAGTGTTTTAATTACTCAGTAATTTTCCTATAGTTTAAACGTCAGTTATGGTACTATTTAATCTAATGTGAAATTTTCTTATTTAATTGCTGAATTATTTAGCTATTTTCAAACAAATACGAAAGCAAACTGGTAGAACTCGCTATAAGAGATATTAGGTCTGTGAGAGTGACGATATTTTTCACACTTCCATTGTCACCCACCTCATTTCATCTGGACACTTTCACCTTCGATCGAATCCAGAGCTTGGCAAGTGCGATGTTTCTATTAAATTCATTACGTTAACTTCATTAAACATATCGCTTTTAATCAATAAATTTACAATGCATGAAACTTTCATGTTCGTTTCATCATTCTAAACGTCCTAGCGTCCGAAGAAAATCATCAATTTTCAGACAAATAGATGTATGTATAAATATTTCTATACGTATATAATTTAATATAAGAGAATTAACAAGGACATAGAGCAAAGGACAGGGACGCATAGGGACCTAACTTAACTCACAGGACTTTTTCACCCTAGAGAATATTAGTATGGGTGTGGGTGTGAGTGTAGAGAGGACTATACTCACACTCACCCACACCTACACCTACACCTACAAAAACAACTTCTCTGATATCCAAATATTCCTGCCAAAAAGCAACAGTTCGAGCGAATTGTGCGCAAAGAAAATTATTGAGCGAAACTGAATGAAACACTTGTTGGTGGTTCTGTCCATTAAAATTGCTAAGCAGCTAAATATGTTGCTCGACGTAGGCCCTTTTTACATTGTCTTCCATCACAATATTGATTGAAGAACAAGCAAAATCTTCCAGTGAAAATTTCGTTCTTGCCAAGAGGCAGAGAGAAAAAGTTGATTGTTTTATAATAATTCTTTGCACAGCATTGCAGTTCATTAATTTTTTCATTTTTCAATTAAGAGCAAGACATTCTTGAAGCAGTTTTTCGGCTTAAGTGAGTATTGATCACGGAACTACAGATTCCACTGTTTCTTTATCAATGACAATAGTTTACTACCAAATATACGGTAAAAGAGAAATAGAAAGTAGTTGACTAATGACACTATTCAGCCAAGTCCAAAGCTAGAAAGTCGTAGCTTGTTATATTAGGAAGAACGTGTCGAACACTAACGAACGTTTCTTAAAGAATGGCTGTATTAGTAATTTGACTTAACTCTTTCCTGTATTACAACACTTCCTCACAATAGAATGCCCTTGTGACATTAAAAATATTCGCAATCAGACCATCCTTCTGTATCAGAAGAGCCTCTTTGTGAAGTTTGAAAGGCAGATTACAAGATTCGGGTATTCTAATCTGACCAACAAAAAATTTCAAAAATTTGTCCTGAAGAACTTGTTGTGTTTATTAATCCGAATGCTCTTTCAAATGCTCTTCAGTTTTGTTGGTGATCAGAAGATGTTCTTTATCTGTTAGAAGAGAAACAGAAAAAGAGTAGAATCACGCAGGCATTTTAAGTGATTGTTCTGAGTCCATTGGGTAAGGCGATAATAATTTACGTAAAAAAGGGATGCACAATAAGTTCATAGGAGCTCAAAAACTGGATAGGTGAAGGGTTGCTCTCATCTAGAGGTGTAAGCCACCCAGCTGCGCCGCCGCCACCGCCCCGAAATCGTAGATAATTTTACAAATTTTTTAGCCGCCATCGCTGTGAAAAAGTTAGTTCAGCCGTTGCGCCGCCGCCACGAGCGAAAATTTTTGATAATATATAGTATGATGCGCCGCTGCCATTGACATCGATACATATGCGATCGGTCATTTTCTCGCATTTTAGGAGCGAAAACGTCTTTTTTGGTTGTCAAATCCGCCGCCGCCGGTGTAGAAAAACATGGGGTTTAGTAGGCGCCGCCGCCATTGAAAAAAATTAGACCATTAAAACAGCCGCCGCCGTTTGATCCCTCGGCTTACACCTCTACTCTCATCGTGCCTCCGGAAATGTTGATAAAGAGCTAGAAATAAAACGGTGACGAGACACCTATAGTACGGTGGCACCAATGGGCAGTGCATTAGTGGTTCGGTGGGCCGGTAGAACTGGTGCACAAGCAAAATTTAAGACTGTCGTTTTAGCGACCTGAGGTAGCTGGTAACCGGAAGTTCTGAGTTCAGTTCCCCGGATAGAAATGACTTGCTATATTAGAACAAAGTTCTCTTTGCAGAATTTTATGCAAATTTTTCTTGATCTGACTAACTCTGAGGTCATTGATGATCGGTTTTTTGCATTATTCATTCGTCTGTAGACTAGGAGAAGCCAGTGGTGTCTGCCCCCCCCCCCCCCTTCCCAGCCGTTGCCATAGGTGTGGATGCGGCGTATGGGTGTGGGTGTTTGTGGGTGTTCTTTTCGCACATATCCATCCGCCACACTCACGTCTCACCCTCCAGGAGAGTTCTCCGAATTTTCAAACAAAATAGAATTGACTAAAAAACCGTGGAATTGAGTCAACTATGCCAAAGTCTCACAATTTAACAGTCCAATGCAGCGACGACATCATCATCTCACGCTATTTCGTCACGTGACATCCAAACAACTAAAAGTTACACTGTTGCACCCAAAAATGATCGCCTACTGTGTATTTTTACCCATCTTTGGGCTACCCACACATGCATCGCATGCTGTCACACCTATCTTCAATGATTTTAGTGCACCTTAACCTATTCATAATTTCACTATACTGCTAGCTCACGTCTCGATCATTGGTCAACCAAATCGATTTCTCGAGTAAGTCACCACAAGAAGTAAGTGAGAAGTGTGGTCAATTGAGAGATTTTCGCATAGTTGAAGCAGTTCTACAGGCTTTTTGATCAATTCTACCTTTTGGATAATCTGGACATTGCTGGTCTCCGAGCGTGCCTAGTATTTGATTGGTTTGAAACATGAAATAGGAGAAGCACACAACGTTTCATCTATGATTTAATGGAAAATTTTTTTACCTATTCGATAGATATTGAAACAAGTTAAAAGAAGAATTCTTTTGTATCGTTGAGTTCGGAGCATCCTAGCAAAGGTACCCTGTTTTTGGACTCTGAAGACTTTCAGTCCCGTTTAAGGTATTGTCTTAGTATCAAACACATGTTTTATCTATAATTCGATAGAAAAAATCAAGCTCTACAATTTGCCTATCGATCACATTTTCAAATGGTGGTCGTGTGCAAAAGCAGAAGCCAGTGGATGCCATAAATATGAAAAGAGCAACCACTGGCATAACGATGTTTGGCTAGACGATTTCGTTGGGTTTTCTTTTTCTCTATCTCAGATGAAAGATCTAGCCAAGTTACACTAGAACCAATACGGATGAGGTAGTTTCGTTTTGTTGATGAGAGATTCTGCCCATGGCGTAAATTTTTGCGAAAAAAACGCGTTCTCAAAACGCATTTTTCCATAGTTGCGAAACGCGTTAATGCTGACCGGTTTAACGCATTTCACATCTGCTAATACGAACGCTGTGAAACGATCGTTTTTCTAAAAACGTTTCGTAGCGTTTCTCTAACTGTGGTGTCGTATGTTCTAGATGGAAAAAAATGAAAACCGTCAAGTACTTCATGCGCTTTGAGTTGCAGATACAATTAATTTACTCGCTTACATTTTTCATACGCCTTTAGAGCTATAACTTAGATCAATTTTGATAACGCCAACACATAGATTCGAACATGAGAACATAAGAGTAGAAGACATGTGTACAAACCGTTCAACTAAAATAATCTAATGATATAAGTGCTTATTCTATAGTCTTTCAGAGTCTTCCGTAAACTTACTAAATTAGATTTTCAGTATCCCAAGCTATTAAATTAAAACTTATCATTTCCTTGGTGCCTATACCCAATAACGAGTTTAATCTCCTCTTGGTATATTTTTTATTTGAACTTGTTTAAATTTAAATTTAAATACCCAATTGAAACGATTTTAATTAATTTAAATTGTATTTAATATTTAAACAAGTTGAATCTCTTAGATATAAATTTTAAGAAATCTAAAAATAAATTTTTTGAATTGTTTTCTTTATTTGATAGATTTTTGTATATGTAAATTCGTCATCCTTTTATCCAAAAGTATCACTAAATGCAAAGAATCTTTTGTAAATCGAATATTGTTTTTATTAATAAGTCACGCTTACATTAACAAAGTACGAACTAAATTCATATTTAATAGTATTGCACACAGTATCATCAGTCACTATCAAGTAGTCCAAATATGAATTCATACCAATAATTATTCAAATTATAAATAACTCGAGATTCTTTTCTTCACAAATAAACAAACAAAGTTGTCGTACACATTATACTAGCATCAGTCTTTACTAAATCTTTTCGAATTGTTCAATATTTAAAACTATGCTTGGTTGAACGTTACGAAACACGTTTTATTTCAATCAAAACCTTGTGAAATGAGTTTTCAAGGAAGAAAAAAATATTTTTCTTATATTTTGATGTTCAATATTAGTCTAACTACCAATCAGACTTATAGAACAGTCTAGCAGCCTAAACATTTAGAACAACTCGATTTTAATTTTGCGTTTGGAAAGTTTGGATCATGATTTTCATGTTGAGAAACAGTGCGAGGAACAAAATATTCAAATCCCATTTAGTATAATTTCTAAAATAGTGCCAGAATTAACTTTGCTTAACTCGTACGTTTTGTGCAGATAAGTTTCTGCAAGATTCTGTATACAAAACGGATATATTTTGCATCATTTCAAACAAAAACGATGCAAAATGCGTTTGAAAAGGAAACGCCTTTCACATTTCTCCGAAACTGTGTCTCTGGAACGCGTTACCTATCGACCGAAATGCGTTCGACATTATTTTACTTCGGAAACGCTTCGAAACGCAATCTTGGAAAAACGCGTTTCAGATCGTTTCAAAAAACGACAGCAGCAAAACGCATTCTATCGAAGTAAGAATGCTGTGAAACGCGTTCTATATTGAAAAAACGCTGCGAAACGCATGCTGCAATCTCAGAAACGCGTTATGCAGTCCGTTTCCTTGAATATTTTACTCCATGGGTGACAGAAACATAGATTTTACATTCATTTTCCGACTAAAATCATAGGAATATTCGAGTGCACTCCGTATTTTGTCCTCTGAGCAAGCAATCCATATTTTTCAGTCAGATGAACTATATTTTTGAGCTGACATCGGAAGTGAAATTTTTTACGAGCTATGATATGACACTGCTTTAGAAGTCCTAGCTTTCAGATATAGACGTTATTGCTGTTGTTATTGTTTTTAGAGAAACTTCACATCGGTGGGCAACTCTTCATGGAATAAAAGAGAAACGAGCGACGGTGTTTAGAAAAAAAGAAAACTACAAGTGGGAGAATAAGTAACAAAGATATGGAGTGTGTTTCTTTACAGCAAACGCCATCGGCTGAACCCTCGTTAATACAACGACATATGGATGAAATTAACTTAGGGAATGTCACTCTAGTATGGTTAAATGAAATTATCGATGAAAACAATAGCGACTGCACAAAGATATTGACACTGCTACGTGACATAAATGATTTTATAGCAACATTTACCGATCCAGATCAGTGTATTGATTATATTAAAGGTGTCGAAAAGGAAACAATACTATTACTCGTTTCAGATTCGCTTTCGACAGCTGTATTGAAACAAATTTCTTCTTGCAAAAATCTTGGTTCTGTTTTCCTATTCTGTTCACATCATCCGTCTTTTGTCAGGAATTTTAAGCAACCGCAAGGTTACTACAAAAAAGTCGTTGATATTTTGACGGATCAACAGCAGTTAATGACGGCTATTCGTCATGAACTCGATCTTCTTCACAAGCATAATATAACTCTATATATATTTGATCAAGCACAGAAAACCACACGTGATTTAACGAAGGAAGCAGGTTCCTTTCTCTGGTTTCAACTTCTATTTGATGCACTGAGACGCCTGCTACAGACAGACAATGCTAAACTACAAATTTTATAGAAATGTAAAGACTATTATCATCGAAATAAAGATAAACTCCAGTATGTTGAACGTTTTCGTACCGATTACAAACCGCAGGACGCAATAAATTGGTATACTAAAAGCAGTTTCGTCTATCGCCTTTTGAACAAAGCATTGAGAACTGAAGATGTTGACGCACTCTATTTATTTCGTTTCTATCTACTGGATCTGCACAGACAGTTAGAACTTGAAAGTCAGAGGAATAGTGGGATAATGAAAGTTTACCGTAGACAGGCAATGTCTGATGAGGAACTTGAGAGATTAAAATGTAGTATAGGAAAGTTGATTTCGTCCAAAGGTTTCTTTTCAACAAGCCTGGATAAAAAGAAAGCTATGAACTTCATGCAAACTTCCATAAAAAAACGTGTCAATCTACAGCCAGTCCTCTTTCAAATCACAGCTGACACTGCTATTAAATCAATAGTTTTTGCGAATGTGGAAGAGTTTAGTTGTGATAAAAGTGAGCGTGAAGTTTTATTTAGTATTGGGACCGCTTTCAAAGTAGAAAATGTAAAATTCGATAAAGAATTAAATGCGTGGATAGTTGGAATGGCTATGACAGAAGAAGGAATGAAGAATATACAGGACTATATTGTTTACATGAAAAATTTATTCAATGGTCTTGATCATTCACTTATCTTCGGATGTCTGATGAACGATATGGGTTATACAGAAAAAGCTGAAAAATATTTCAATTTATTGTTGTACTCCAGTCAGTTTAACTCACTGGAACAAGCAGATATATTACATGAGCTTGGACATGTGAACTTTCGTAAACAAGATGTTGGCCACTCCTATAACTATCATCGTCGTGCGATGAAAATACGAAGAAATGTACTACAGCCTAATGATGCACGTATAGCTGTATCAAATAAGGCTATGCGTAAAGTGTTTTGGTCAATTAGACACTTCGATTATGCGATTGAATGCAATACAGAAGCATTACGTATTGACAGAGCAAATGCCCAAAATCACGATCATTTGACAGTAGCCAAAGATCTTTCCTGTTTAGGGAAATTTTATCGGGAGAAAGCTGACTTTAGAATGGCATTAGAATATTTGAATCAAGCACTTGAAATGCGACGACGTTTATTACCAACAGTTCATTCTGAAATTGCCGGCTCTCTATGGGATATTGGGCTGGTTTATGAGAAATTAGGAAATTATTCTTTAGCGCATCAATATTATTCTGAATCAGTTATGAAGTTTGAGGAAACTTTACCAACCGGTCATCCTACTCTACTGCAGGTCTATGGAACAATTGTCAGAGTATTTCGGAATGAGCAGAAGCAGGGACTAGCATTAATTTTTTGTCAAGAAAAATTGAACCAATTACAGAAGCAACTAGGTGATAGTCACTCAAGCATTGCACGAATTCTACTTATGATGACAGAAATTCAAAAGGACAATTTCGGATAAAGCGAAAATGCTCTTTAATATCTTGAAACCAGTCTGAATATTTTGAAAAAATGTGAGTCTGCTGAAAAAAACCATTCGTCAATGCGTAACTTGTATTGAAATTATACAAATGAACACCAGAAGGCAATAGCAAGTATTATCATTGACTGGTGTGGGTGTGGGATTAGCTGTTTCTGAACAAGAATAAAAGATTCTCACTCATACTCGCACTCAAATCCACCTCATGCCCATTCCTATAAACTGAACGCAAAAGTGACATTCCTACTCCAAGATCTACTGCTTTAATTATCAATTAATACGAAGGTACAGAAGGAAATTACGAGACACTTCATTTTATGGTTCATAGAGAGTCATAGTTGCAACTGGCCTGGTTGGTCCGATCCGGTTAAAAGTTCTAAATCGATTCGAAGTATATCCAACATACTTAATTCCCACCATTAATGTTAAATAAACCATTTCATCATCGGCTTTTGTTTCATTCTGCTCTTCTTATTCAACTGTAAATTCAAATTTTTTTAATGATTTTCAACGGAAAAGATCTGCTTGGATGAGAGTTGCACACCCCCTCACTCCAGCTATTCTTTTCTTAAAAGCCATCCATTGAAACAAAACCTTCAATGTTGATGAGCAGTTTATTCTCGCGCTGCAGTTTCTTTTCTTTTGTTTGAAGCAACACATGAACGTTCAACATTTTTTCTATTGACATAAGTGAAGAGCAAAGAAAAAAAAATAAAAGCATGAGAGTTCGAAAAGAAATTGTTAATTGAAACACCCAGCGCATCCTGCAGCTCGTAAAACTGTATGTTGCGCAACCAATAGTATATAGTTGCTTGTTGGTAGCAATTCTACTCTCATAGGCTTATGCTTGGCAAGTTTTTGCATAGTTAAGGATTTACCAGTATTTCATCACTCACTTAAGGATGTAGATGTGGGTGTGAGTCGCCACATCCACGCCCACCACACTCCAACCTCCCAAATGAATCTGTTCATTTCTTTATACGAGAAACAGAAATGATATGAAATATTTAGTTCATTTTCATCGACACTTGAGAGATTCGTGCATACGTAATCGTACTCATGGTAACGTTTTGTCTTTTGGTCTTCTGGTAATGTCTAAATCTTCATATTTCACCAATCACACTTTTGCGCATGACTTCGAACTTGTTTCTCTCTATTTCTGTATTTTATTTTCTAATCGTCATCATCGATCAGTGTATCTTGAAGGAGAGTCATAAATACTCTAGCCTTCGACTAATCCCTATCACTGTGCATCTTGATCCTCAATGGTAATAAAAAATATCTAAGTGTAAAAAGCAACGAAAATTATTGCTACCATTGATGTGCACTGCTCAAAGTGACACTACCATCATCAGACAAATTAATCGATATAAAATATAGCAGAGTCTGTGACTTGTAGGTCAATCGACAATACCTATTTTATCTGCTTTATCATTACCCTTATATATATATGCCCTTGTCCCACGTAATTATTTACTGCTATTATTTTATATGAAGAAGAAATAGAAAGAAAAAAGCAAAAAATAATGCATAGAATGATATATGCTCGATCCTTCATTACGTGACATTCGATCTAGAAAATTCTTCACTTTTTCATGTACATCATCGATAGCTTTAACATTATCAGGATTCGAATAATTAGCGCCGCCTGATACAAATCCATGTTTCATGTTTGGATACGTTTCGTATTGAGATTGCTTAGCTACTCTTGGACTTGTCCATTGTTCAATGACGCTTGAAACATTCGGCTTCAACGGTGGATCATCACCAGCAGCAATGAATAGCATTGGTTGTTGTAGTTGACGAACTTCGTCTTCTGTGAGCCATGCACCATGAATTGAGATGCCTGTAAAAAATAGTGTCGATAGATTTGAACAGGCTCGAACAACTTGTAGACCGCCCCAACAGAAACCTATGAGAGCAATGCGACGAGATGTTGATGTTCTTCGAAGCCAGGAAGCGACATCGCTAAGGTCAGATGATACTTGAGACCAGTTACCAATTAGAGAAAGTACTGCGGTAAGATTACTTATATGTGCCGATGCTGTTTTACCGCGAAAGAAATCAGGCATAGCCACTTGTGCTTTGTATTGCGCCGAGAGGCGATCACAAAATACACGCGTTTGACTTATATTGAATCCAAAGATATCATAGATTACAATAATCGATACATCATTAGTTGAATCTGCATCACTACCAACCGTATAGACATCGATATTTTTTACCCGAATTACTTCACCTTTCGTATAGGTCTCATTCCATAAAGTTGTGGGTTGACTAATTTGACTCTCTGAAATAAGAAACATCTATCTTCTAATAATATTATTTTGACGATCTGAACTCACCTGAGAAACCAATAAACAGAGCTAGTAGACAGAGCAACTGCATCGTATTTTTATTGTTCTTGTGAATAACACGCGCACGATAATGGCGAAAAAGATTGTCGTAAAGCTACCTATAAACGCTTGATGACGATGAAGGAGTAAAATGAGAAAAAATCCAAGGTAAAATATCAAGACGCGTGTTGTGTATTGACATATGAAAACATACAAGTCTTTATGTAGCTGATGATTGGATACTTTGTTCACCACTTATTTAGCACACGCATCGATGATGCGTTAATCTTCTCCTTTGAATGAAAGAATGACTGCCATGTCATACAAAAGACCAATTATATATAACTGACATGAGATTCTGGTTTTTATAAGAAGGTTGAGTTGGTATTTGTCATTATTACGTTCTCTTCTTTTATTTTATTTTTATTTTTATTTTAAATTTTTATTTAATTTAATTTGATATCAATAATTTAATTAAATTTAAATTCAAATTATACCATTTCGTATCTTGATGAATACTTCATCAGACATAGAAATTAAGACAAATGACATGTAACGATAAACAACTTTTTCTTTCCTATAGTATTAGTCATACTTTTGATAGTGATACCGAAAACAAAACGGTAATAGTAATAGCTAGAATAAGAATTCAATCCTTTTTCATATCGCTATCAAAAGTATGACTAATACTATAGGAAAGAAAAAGTTGTTCATCGTTACATGTCATTTGTCTTGATTTTTATGTCTGATGAAGTATACATCAAGATATGAAATGTCACAATTTTAAATCTAAATTTAATTAAATTATTAATATCAAATTAAATTCAAATTAAATTAAATAAAAATTTCAAATAAAAATAAAACTAAAATAAAAGAAGAGAATTAAATAATGTCAAATACTGACATGAGATTTTCCATTCGATTCTTTCTGTTTGATTTAGAGGTAGACTATTTGCATACGATAATATAAATCATATAAATGGACAAACTAAATTTAAAAAGTTAATAAAAATGACAATACTGCATTATAAATCAATTGCATGTTTCTTTAAATGATGAACACATTGTGAAATGAATAAAATTTGATTCAAAATGCACTATTATCATCTTTATTAATTTTCTTTATTTGCATGCAGTTGAGCAAAATTTGTTTTACATATCTTCATTTAATTCGAGCACAACAACTTTTGAAAAGTTTTAGTCATGCCAAAAATATATGAGCAAAAACAATATGCTCATTTCATCGCAATCAATAACAAATATATATATATGTGCTTTTAAAAAATTTTCAAAGTTTTTGAGGCCTTTCTCACTGGTGAAGTACGTTAGCAATAAATCTACGTTTCTCAGATTCATGTAACATAATTGTTTCGGATTTCCTTACATTCCTTTTGAATAGCATACATAATTTTGAGTTTGATTACAAGAAAGGCTCAGTTCTGAAATGGAAAAGTTAATCGTTGTTTGGGCAGTATTGTTTTCCGACATTAAGATGTAGTTTCGTTATGAAATCTCTGTGTAGTAAATAATGGAAGAGAAGAACGTCTGTACCGCTCGGTGCAATACTGACTTAACTACGCCATGATTCCAAGTGTGTCTGTTTCTCTGTATGGGATTCTAAACATAGATAAAGAGACATATGTAATCTCATGATTCAAGAAGCAAAGCTTTTATAGCCTAAGATTCAATTTAAGTTTCAAGCTTTAGGCTGAGGCAATGCTAACCCATTAGGCAGTTCTATCCGCCGTAGTACATTGTTGTTCCTCTCATTCATATTGCTGTCCGTTACTCAGCTGGCTTTTGTTAAGTTGTTCCGTCGACTCAAGCATATTTTCTCGAACTAGAAAATTAATTCTTGTTGATATAGACCTTCCTATATATTTTTTGATGGTCATGTTTGTACTCTGCTTCCAATTCATTCAACAGCTATGAAATCTTTAACATTGTGTGTCCTGTCAGTTTAAGTAAAGGTATCATTCCTAGGTCTGCGATCATATTTCTAGTCTTCGTCATATTAGTTTCTATATGGCCAGATGTATATTCCATGAGCATATTTCTCATCACCGACCAAGTGTTCAACGTATTCATCTCCTGATCCTCATGTTCAACTACCCTATTCATGACATGTGCTCTCTTTTCATTGATTCTTGTATGCCTCGTGTCATTCAATTGATTATGTCTCTCAAATATGTATTTTCATCTAAAATCTGCATTGTTATCATTGAGCCTGCAGACATTTTTACAAGGGCTACATTCCAATCTGAAGATTTGAGTGAGGTCGTACAAATTTTCGACAGAACACGAACAGAGAAAATCTTATTCGCTGTTATAGATGTAGATTTATTTGTTTGCAGTTGACTAGGAAAACTAGATTAGTTTTCATATGATATATTTTTCTACGTGAGTATAGATTGATTTGATTAGCAGCAACCTAGGATAATTTTATTAGTTCTTTATATTATACCACTTTCTCTAAATGATCTGCATAAAGAACGTTTGACTCAAATGCAAATTCAGCAGTTGTCAAATGTGCACTTGGTGATAAAATGATTTTGTCTTCAATTACATAGCTTGAATAATAATCACTGCATCTGTGACTTTTGAAAACTATTAGCACTAAGGCTTTTTTTAATTTTTTATGCACTCAGCCTATACCATGTTTATACTCGGTGTACACGATGCGTTACGCCATTATGTGACTATGTTGTGTTTTTCAGACTTCACTGCATGTATCTTGCGCAATATATTTGAGAATACTAGGCCCAACCTGTATTTCCACTATTTTAGCTAAGTTATAGCCAAATGAAAAAGTGTCGCATAGAGAGACCATTTTGTAAGTCCATGCCTTTACTTATCTTGATATGAGCTCATACAATTTTCTATAGAAATTGACGCTTTCGTTAGTACATAAATAGATGCATATTGATTCACTGAATACTAGTTGTTCAGCGACTTTAACGTAAAATCTGCGACTAGAATGATATTCACAATAAGCTCAACACATTTCTGTACAGAAATTTCAGAAACACTTAAATAACTTTCAATGTCAGGTAAAGTATCTGTTATAGCTGAATCTTCAACTTATATATGAATAGAAGAATGATTGTTATAATTTTATTTCAATAACGGCAAAAATTGATAGATTTCTTAGAAAAAGAGTAAAATTGTGTTTATTAGCGTTTATGGACGCTGTGGTAACAAAAAGTAAACGGTAAATTCAGCTAAAAAGATCGCTCATGGTCAAAAACTGTTTGAGTAAGTGTCACGGGTGCATTGAACTAGGAATAAGAACCGCCTTCATCTCGCACATAAGAAGTTATGTTAAAGGCACTGGTAAAATTCATTTTCGGTGCACACAAAATTTTTCTCATCATAAGAGATTCTTTTCAAGAACTAGGTATCCTCTCTAAACGTTTCTTGGATGTATGTCTATTTTGTAAATGATGAAAAACAATAATCGAAACAGCTAAACTGCACTTACGGAGCAGTTGAAAGCAATACTATAAAACGCTGAAGGTGGTACTGTTTCTAACTTAAAAACGCTTTCTGGATCATGAGTGAGTTCTTGCAGCAAAAATAAAGGGCATATACACCATTGTAGTCATCAAAAAACTTTTGTCTAAATGATACGCATCAATGTCTTCGTTATCCAGGAGACTTTCGTTAAACGTCCTGCATTTACGCAATATAATTTTTTCAACTCATTAAATAAATCATCCGTAAGAAGCAAAAGTTCATACACTACACAAATGACACGCCCAAGTCAAGTAAAGTAACATAGAGGTACGATGCATTAAAGATTAGACGAAATTACATCGAATTAAAGGAAAATATCTTTCATCCAAACATCTGAATTTCGTGTCATCGAACATGCTTTCCGCCAGTCTGTTGATGCGATTGCAACCGATTCAAAGAAACGAACTCAGAGTAATCATACCAATGACGAATACTGACACAAAGCTATTATTATTTATCGAGAATAAAAGCCACATTTCTTAACCCGTTCAAGATTGCAAGTTGATCAATAGAAACAGTAAAAATTACGAAAACTGCATTGAAACCTGCAAAAATGATGACTTTTCCTAGAAAGACTAATACAATCATGTTCAAATACATGTAGAGACAATAATCAAAAGTAAGATAGCATGGCATATGAGCATCAGCGTGATTTTACATTTTGATAAGTTACAGAAGTCAACATTCACGCCCTCTCGTTTACATAACTCTCGAAGAATTTCGGCCCAAGACAAAATTATCCCATCAAATTCTGTCAGCTTCAATCAAAAACGGATCAAGCTGCATATGTCGCGGTGATGGTGAAAGTGTGAATGGAAAGTAAGGAGATGTGTTCTGTAAAGAGAAGATCACGTTCTAGGTGAGAACTAGTCACACAAAGGTAATTGATCTGCTGTATTTTGATCATTTGAGATCAATGTGTTATTTGCTATTTTCAATATATTCATCAAAAGATTTGAGGAATAGTTCCATCTGATCAATGAACACATGTCAATTCGATTCGAATCAATTCTAGTTAACACAGGATGTTATAAAATCCTCTACAAGACTTTTTCATTCGACTTCGTTCTCTGGATCTCTGCTTAATTATTATTAAAGCTAGCAAAGACTAAGACAGGCATTCAAGCATTGCTGCTTATCAATCCTGTGACTATAACAGGTGCTGAAAGAGAAAACGGTTGTCTTGTTCAAGTTGTCATGTTTTATTGTGACGCAGTCGAATCTAAAAGACAAAGATTCGGATATTCCGAGACAAATGTTGTCTCCACATTCTATTCTATATCGTTGATCGATGTTGACCAGTTGAGAAAATTTGCACTTGTCAATCATCAGTTCATAGCAAACGACCTTTTACATCAAACAATTGACTTACCACATAGTGATGTAGTCCAGATGCATGAGTCATGTTCAGGAGCTTGGACTGTGAAAGAATAACATCTTCATCTATACGTAAA